TGGAGGGAGGTGGATGGGGGATTAGCTAAATGGATGATAGGTATTAAGGATGGCACTTGTTATGATAAGCACTGGGTATTTTTTTTTTAAGATTTTATTTACTTGAGGAAGAGAGAGAGCAAGGGAAGGGGCGAAGGGACAAGCAGACTCCCCAGTGAGTGGGGAGCCTGACACAGGGCTTAATCCCAGGACCCCAAGATCATGACCTGAGCCAAAATCAGAAACTCAACCAACTGGGCCACCGAGGTGCCCCAGCACTGGGTATTATATGTTAAGTGATGAATCACAAAATCTACTCCCGAAATCCATATTACACTGTATGTAAACTAATTAGAATTTAAATAAAAATTTGGAAGAAAACAAAATTAAATAAAAAATTAAAAAAAATAAAATCAGGGGATGTTTTACAAATAGATATAGTTTTATAGATATATATGTATAGTGATATGAATATAGATGTAGAGATAGAGACATACATACATACATAAAATAGTATAATGTGAGTATATAAGATGCAAAGAAATAAGGACCAAGATGCATATTTGGGGAGCAGCTACATGTAAGAGATGGGAAAAATTATTTTATACAAAGATATATATTGAGATGTAGCTCAATAGGTAGGAGGGAAAAAAGTAGTGACACAAAATCCAAAGGAGGAAAGAGTTTTTACAAAAGGAGGGAATGATGCATCAAAAAAAATAAAATACCTAGGAATAAATTTAACAAAGGAGGTGAAAGATCTGTACACTGATACTATAAGACATTAATAAAAGAAACTGAAAGAGATTCAAATAATTGGAAAGACATTCCATGCTCATGGATTGGAAGAATTAATATTGTTAAGATGTCCACACTAGGGGCACCTGGGTGGCTCAGTCGTTAAGCGTCTGCCTTCGGCTCAGGTCATGATCCCAGGGTCCTGGGATCGAGTCCTGCATCGGGCTCCCTGCTCAGCGAGAAGTCTGCTTCTCCCTCTCCCACTCCCCCTGCTTGTGTTCCCTCTCTCGCTGTGTCTCTCTCTGTCAAATCAATCAATCAATCAATCAATCTTTAAAAAAAAAAATGTCCATACTATCCAAAGCAATCTTGATTCAATGCAGTTCCTATCAAAATTCCAATGGCATTTTTCACAAAAACAGAACAAACAATCCTAAAATTTGTATGAAACCACAGAAGACCCAAATAGCCAAAGCAATCCTGAAAAAGGGCAGAGCTGGAGGCATCACATTCCCTGATTCCAAACTATATTACAAAGCTAGAGTAACCAAAACAGTATGGTATTGGCATAAAAACACATACATTGATCAATGGAACAAATGAGGAGCCCACAAATAAATTCATGAATATATGGTCAATTAATTTACAACAAAGGAGCCAAGAATATAGTGTGGAAAGGACGTCTCTTTGATAAACAGTGTTGGGAAAACTAGTTAGCCATGAGCAAAAGAATCAAACTAGACCGTTATCTCCAACATGGACAAAAAATTAACTCAAAATGGATTAAAGACTTGAGTAAGACGTGAAACTGTAAAACTCTTAGAAGAAAAATAGGTAGTAAGTTCCCAGACATTGGTCTTGGCAATTATTTTTTGGATTTGACACCAAAAGCCAAGGCAACCCATAAAAGCAAAAATACACAAGCTTTGACAACATCAAACAAAAGGTTCTGCACAGCAAAGGAAACCATCAACAAAATGAAAAGGCAACCTACTGAATATAAGAAAATATCTGCAAATCATGTATTACAACTCAATAGCGAAAAAACAATCCAATTTAAAAATGAGTAGAAGACCTGAAGAGGCATTTTCCAAAGACATACAGATGACCATCAGGTACATGGGAATGTGCTCAACATCACTAATTATCAAGAAAATGCAAATTCGAATGCAATGAGTTATCCATTCATACCGGTTAGAATGGCTATTAGCAGAAAGGCAAAAGATAAGAGTTGGTAGAAATGTGGGGAAAAGCAACCTTTGTGAATTATTGGTGGAAATAAATGTAAATTGGTACAGTCACTATGGAAAGGAGAAGTACCTCAAAAAATTAAAAATAGAACTACCATATGATCCAGCAATATTAACCATTTGGATTTTCTCAATTGTGAAATGCTTGTTTTTCTACAAGGAAGTCTAATTTTTTTGGCTTTTTAGTTCTTTATAATACAATTCTGGATGAGTCCATCAGTTATACATATTGTGAACATATACTCTGTGACTTTTGCTCTTAATGATATCTTTTCATGACTAGAAGTTCTTAATTTTAATGCAGATTTATCAATCTTTCTCACTACAATTATCTTAAACATAGTGACACATTTAAGCAGTATTTTCCAACCCTGGACAGATTAAGATACTTTCCTATATTATCTAGTAAAATCTTTAGTTTTACCTTTCATATTTACATCTCTAATTCCCCTGGAATTCATTTTGTGTAGAGTGTGAAAAAGAGATTAGATTTTTCTTTTTAAAGAAAAAGATAACCTATTTTTCTCAGTATCATTTATTGAATAGACTGTCTTCACTGTTTTAAAGTGCTGCTTTTGTCTGTTTATCGGTTTTCAATTAAGATCCACTAATTTATTTGTGTTCAGTGTACCAAGACTTCCAATATCTCGCTGTCCTGATACTATAGTTTTAGAATAAACCTTGTTTCTGACAGAGCAAGTTCTCTCACCTCTTCAACTGATTGGTCATATAACCCTTTGTATATCCATATACATTCTGGAAACAATTTGTCATGTTACACCCACACACACAAAACTTGTATTTTGATTGGCTTGGATTTCTATCAATTTCCCACACCTGGCAATTTCCATATTTTTAACCTCAGTTATACACTAAAATTATTTTTAAGTTGTATTTCATATACGTTTGATATTTGTTAGGAAACCCACTCTGGCTGTATTTAGTCATGTTGCCCAAAAGTCCTTAGTTGGAATTTTATGAAGAACAGTGCCTGAGTTTTATTAAATGACCTTATAGAATCTATTGATAAATCATGTTTTTTTCTCCTATAAATTGTCAATAAGTCATATTCGTAAAGTTCCAAATATTGAACCACACTTGTAATCTTGAAAGAACCGTATTTGATGCAGTAAAATCCCTAAAACAATTCAAAAGGCTCTTTAGCATTAATATTGGATCCATCTGGGAACCTGATTCCCATTTTGGCTCCCTAATGGTGCAGAGTTGAGAAATAAACTTGAATCAAACTATTTGAGTCTAAGAAGGCTGAAGTAATAGATGAGAATATATTCAGACTTCAGATTAATGTAATGCACCATTATCCTGTAATCATGCAGTATGTCACAGGACTGATTTTTCTTTCAGTCAAGGGAAGTGTGTTTCATTCACCATGATCATTTTGTCAGTTTAGATCTACTATGTTTATTAGTCATTCCAATGGTCATATATTGATTAGACTGTATTTTAATTGTACTTCTAGACTTAATTGTTCATTTAGAATGATTGCTTCTATATTCATAATTGAAATTAATCAGTACTTTTCTTTCTTACATTCTTCTTTTAAAATGTTGATACAAAGCTTATGTTAACTTCATGAAATGAATTGGATAGCTGCTAATCTTTTTTAATTCTGCAAAGTAGGACTATTACTATACATTAAATAGCCTTTTAGTGCTGGAACTCAGCTTTGAAATCATTTGGAATTTGCATCTTTTTTAACAGTACATATTTACCTTTCTAACTTGTGCTATTTATTGGGCCATTAGAATTTTCTACTTCCTCTTGAGTCAACTTTGGCTTACTTTGCCTAAGTCCTCCACATTTTCAAATTTGCTATGGAGTTAAACATTTTCTTATGTCTCTTTCATACATGTGATTCTTTATTGATATGGTTCTATATTCAATACAACATGTATGAATTATACGGTATAACCCACAAATACAAGAATGGGTTAACATTACAAAATATATTAATATAATGCAACAGATTAAAGATCAACGAATAAAATATTTTCTCAATAGAGAAGGTTAATTTTATATAATATCCATACATGATAAAGCATCTTAACAGGTAAAGAATATAAACAAACTTTTTAATTTTTTAATGGGGATATGCCAAAAATACTAGATCTTAGAGCAGGTATCATTACTGAGAAAAACTAGAGGATTCCCTTTAAAGTTAAAATTAACTACCTGCTAATATTTTGCCAGTGTTCATCCAATACATTTCCAACTTCATGCCTTATCTCAGGTCATTTCCTCTCCCTAGAAACACCATACTTTTGGCGGGAATCAAAGCTCCATCTCCAACAAAATGATAAAAGCTGTGTAATTTCTGCCAGAAAAATGCACACATGCACTAAACACAAAATTTTATATAAACTATCATAGGATTCACTACCTCCATCCTGCAAAAGATTCCAGATTAAAAGCTTCTGTCCTGGAGCGCCTGGGTGGCTCACTCCATTAAGCATCTGACTTCAGCTCAGGTCATGATCTCAGGGCCCTGGGATCAAGCCCCACATCAGGCTCCATGCTCAGCGGGGAGTCTGTTTCTCCCTCTCCCTCTGCCCCCCGCCCCCCCAACCCCTGCTCATGCTCTCCCTCTCTCAAATAAATTTTTGTAAAAAATTGCTGTCCTACATATAGCTCAGTATACATAATGCTTAAAAATATTAATGGAGAAAGGAACAAGCATTTATATAGGCAAGCAAATATATGAGAGAAGTTGATTCAAACATTCATACTGACCTATGAAAATCTGTTTAAAGGAATTGTTTAAAACATGAAACATGGGTGCCCGGGTGGCTCAGGTGGTAGCATGTCCAACTCTTGATTTCAGCTCAGGTCATGATCTCAGGGTCATGGGATTGAGCCCTACATCAGGCTCCATGCTCAGCAGGGAGTCTGCTTGAGATTTTCATTCTCCCTCTCCCTTTGCCCCTCTCCCTACTATCTCTCTCTCTCTCTCTCCCTCTCTCGCTAAAATAAAGAAATAAATCTTTAAAAAACAAAAAACATGAAACAAAATATACTTGAGTTTTAAGTATTTATTTACAAAGTTCTTACTAATACAACTACTTTTAAAATATATCAATAAAGAGTGATTTACTATTTAAAAATGGCAAATATGTGGCATAGAAAAAATCTATATAGTCAAAGTATTAAAGCAGATGACTGAAAATTGTTAAATGACAGTTAAATGTTTGCAGTACTCCCTACACAGATAGGAAATAAAAATTCATTTGTTCATAGAAACTTGATTATTTTGAATCACTGACTATAAAAAAAACCTATTGTGAAAATTAACATCAGGGTTTGAAAGATATTTTACAATAGCAAATAAATGTATTTTGATTTTACATTTAATTATGGGACCAAAATAAAAGGTAGACCATACACATATCTATGTATTTTACAGCAGATTAGTAAAACTGATGCTAATTTTAGAATTATTTCATAAAGAGTGTAACAGTCTATACCACAATTTCCCCATGGTCTTACCCTTCAAAATAAAATTCCTCACACTACCAAACTAAATGAAGACTTGCTAGTGGCTAAAATCACCCAAAATATATGGCCCCTGAAAAAGTTACAAGTATACACCAATACCATGTTTGTCAAAATACACATTATTTTTTAATCTTTCTGTTCTTATCTCAATCTGCAAAAATATTTTGGAACCATCTCCTTTAACTAAAGGGCAAATCTTTTAAAATCCACACTCTAGATCTTGACATTTGAGAATAAAATAAATTGCAACAGGAGCAGCTAAATAACTACTTCAAACAGCACATGTGAAACAAGTCCCCGCTACTAACCAGAAATCTGTGCAGGGGTTTTATCTAGTACATTCTTTGATATCACAATTTCTTCACAAATTGAGATACACAAATAGGTATTTCCAAAAATTCATTCATGGACACTATACAGAGAGATTCACAGCAGTATTTGGCATCCACCAATAAAATTTATTTACTATTGTCAAGTTGCAAAGCTACTAATATCATGAATAACTTAAATTATTGGTCTTCGAATGAAGGATTTGAGCAAAGAGAAAAATTACATCAAAATCAATATAATTTTTACATGAATTAAAATATGTAAGAGGTTAACTTTACTCTTTCAAGAAGAAAATTAAATGACATAGATTTAGTGTTACCTATATTCTTTCCAGCTTTCACCAAGTGCTAATGACAAGTACCATTTAAGTCAGTTTCTTATTTGAGTATGAAGTGTTTATAAGTTGCTATAAATTAAGCTTTTTTAAGTTTCATATCAAATGAGTTGTAGATCTGCTTAAAGTATGACTTCTTCTTTCAAAGAAGGAAGGCAGGCTGACAAGGGAGGGGGATGGGATACCCTGCAAAGACAAGACAAATACTTTTATATTTAAATTTTTCTTTTAAAAAATTTTAAAATAGTTTAGCATCATGCATATTATTTTACAAATTAACACAACAATTAATTTTAAAACATCTGAAAATTCTAAACTCTTTAAATAAAAGAATTTAAATTAGGGGAAGGGGGATAGGAAGAAAACATAATTAAAACTATTTTAGCATTCTGAAAACAAAAAAACAAATGGACAGACTAGTTAACTACATATTAACTCAATTGGTTTACTGCTACTAGGGTGTACCTGTGTGATATTAAAGACTGTTTCAGGTTCTTTAAAAAAAATTATAAATTAGTAAGTTTTTGAGGTAAAAAGACAAACCCTAGTGGTTTCTTAATCATAAAGCAAATTTAAGAGGAGTGAAATTACTTCATGAAAAATAATTCTCTAAAATTAAAGGTCATACATTCCTAGAGAGTTTCTGTGTTACGTGTGCAATCCATAGCAAAATAGCAGCAATTCTGATAAGAGATTATTAAGTTACTAAGCTATCTAAATTTATTGTTTCAGAGGCCAAAGTTAAATATCATCAGAATTTTCAATAATAACAAAGGAACATGCACAAGAACACCAAAAACTGAAGAGCAGGTGTAAATCAAAATGAATTATAAAGAAAGTTACTGCTTTATTTTAACATACATGAATGTCTAACTGTAACTAACTTAGAGCCAACAAGGTAGCTGGCTGTAAGTTCTCATCAACAAGGTAGTAAAATGTAGTATTTAAAGAGCTAGGTTGGTAAAGTATTACCATTCAGGTGATAACAAAGATGATTTAAGTAGATAGTATAAAAGCTTACATTTTCTTCAAGTGAAACGTTTATGATTTGCCATATTAAAAAGCATGAATTTTATATAAATGCCATAAATCTAAGATTAAGAATCAGATTTGGAATAAAAATCTGCTTTATATCAAAATTATTACTATTCTTTAAAATGATCACTTTCATAAATAGGAACATTTTTAATGGGATTGAATTTTTCTGGACTTAAGAATAAATTACCTTGCAAAAAATATTTTTATGTGTCAATACACAAGGAAACTCTATTAAGCCTAAATTGTTGTGAATTCAAAGCAGTTATAAAGTTGTGAATTCAAAAGTCCCCACCCACCTAATAACGATTCAGTGAAGAAAGAATGCTTTCTTTTTTCACAAATACAAATTTCAAATAGCTAATAAGCTCACATTAAACTTTCACGAGGCTTGTTTCCATTACTGGTTGGCATATCTCCTAATTCTTCACAAATGTCAAAGATGACTTGGATAGGACTTTTTTTGAAATTTGAAAAATCAATAGTTCCTTCTAGTATCTCTGAAAAACTAGCTCGTGAGGCAGAATGACGGATAGATCGAAACCAGGAGTTTTGAGAGCGCCCACCAGTAGAGTTTGAGCGCTGTACATAAACATGCTTAGTAAATCCAATTATATTGCTTGTGGAAACAGAATGGACAATCTGTTAGAACAGAAATAAGCAATTGAGAAGAGGACATGAATGTCTTAAAGATAATATAAATAAGAAGTACCTAAAATATCTATATAAAAGTGACAAAACCATAAATAATTTTCTAAAAATTTTCTGTAAAATCAAATTACATTCATTTGAAAAGCAATGCTTATAATAGTTACATAGTTATATAGATGCAGGATATAAAGAAGGGACAGTACTTTGGCCTAACTGCACTTTGTCCATCTTAATTCATTTTCATTTTTCAAATTTCTTGGCATATATTTATATTATCAAGCACAACTTCCCTCCCACTGGAAGGTTAACCTTCCTCCAAAATTTGTATAAATATACTCATAGATTCAACTATAAGTCTCTGAGTTAAGACTTAGACTTAACTGGCTTTTAAAAAACTTTAAGAGTTATTGAGTATTAAGTACCTCATCTATAAATTTTATATAATAAAAGGTAACCAGGCCACTCACTATGTGCCAGGAACTGTTCAAAGCACTTTGCATATATTAACTTATTTAATCCTTACAACTACTACTTTAAATTCATCTTACTGATAGTGAAATTGAAACAGAGAGATCTTTAATAACTTCCCAAAAGTCATACAGCCAGCAAATAGCAGAGCCAGGATTTGAACATGTGAGTTCCAGAGTTTATGCTCTTAACCACTATTCAAACTGCCTCTCCTTAGATAATCACATTGTGTGTGTGTGTGTGTGTGTTTAGTCCTTATAGTCCTATATGGTTAAGTACTATTAACCTTTTTCCTCAGCTGTAAAAATGAGGATAAGAAGAGAATAAGAAACTTGCTGAAGGACACACAACTAAGAAGTGACAGTCACTTGCTTTTCTTAACCTTAGGTTAGATCAATAATAATTTTACAAAGAACAGACACATCACTCACATACTTAGAGACAGTAATAAATGTTAGAAATGTCCCTAATATTAATTATCTAATAATTCTGATATCACCAGGAATTTGAATTATTCAGGAAATATTTAAAAACATACACATATGAATTCAGAATCCATATCATCCTTCAGCTTCAGAGGTTATATTCTACTCATCACAGAAATAGTTAAAAAAAAACAAAGCAAAACAAAAAAACCTCTATCTCAGCTATATTATTGGAGCCAATCTCCATAAACAGAACCATCATTATTTACATGTTTCTTTTCTTAGATTTTTGAATGTATCTCAATCCCAATAAAATTTCACATCAAACTATACACTAAGTATGTCTCTAGTTCATTAAGTGAAGTTTTTCTCAGTTACCTTTACCCAGTAAAGAGGCTAAAAGTTTAGCGATTAAAAAAGAGAGTTATTAAGACTTCCATCTTCAAAAAGTTAACAAATTCCATACCAACTCCATAAATGTGAGTAAGTCATTTAGCCCATTAGATCAAAGTCACTTACTGCTAATGATGATGTGCTAGAAAGACGACTCATTACATGCTTGTCATTGCTGGAAGGACTTCTTCCCTCCACTGAGCTTTGGGATGTCATAAGGGCCCTTCGCAGAGCTCTTTTTGGAGTTTTTGAGAAAGAGAATGCTCTTGTAACCTAGAGTTAAAAAGAGTCACAATTAATTAAGCATACATAAATCTAATACAACTGATAAGAACATAAACAATGCCAAATATACATGAAGTTTTTCTACAAATAGTATATGTCAGAATTCGAATTTCTTTGGACAAAACAATGAGATGAAGTAGTACACTGTAGATAGACTATTCCATCCTGCAATCATAAAGCACTACAGCCCAAAGGGAGAAAGAAAGCAGCAGGAAAAAACCTGGCCTGGGAGATTAGAAACCTGGGTTTATATTGGATTCTGCTAAAATTTAGTTGTGAAATCTTTAATCCAAGGCCACTTGAATCTCAATTTATTTATTAAAAAAGTGAAAGAGCTCATTTGAATCATTCAACGTGTTTATCTAGTATACATCATACACATTAAATGCTGGAAGATACAAAGATGGTTAAAATAGAAGGCCTCCCCTTCAAAAGCAAAGAAAACAACAAAAAATTGTAGATGATGATTGCAAATTTTGCTCAAACTATTAAAATTCTAGTTCTACTTTTAAGAAGCCCCATTATACGGGCACCTGAGTGGCTTAGTCGGTTAAGATCTGAATCTTGATTTTGCCTCAGGTCTTAATCTCAGGTTCGTGAGTTCAAGCCCCACGTCCACGCCCAGCATGGAGCCCGCTTTAAATGAATAAATAAATAGCCCCATTACCAACATTTTTACATAGTCCTCAACTCTGATAAAGTAAGAAGGGAAGTGATCTTCATCATTAGGAGACTGAAACATATTTATGGTCAGGAATAGATCCCAGGTCTCCCAATTCTATCAGTGCCCTTTGCTGAAAAATATCTGAGGCAATATTTAAGATGAATGTACATGTATCTACACCTAAACCACCACCAGTACATTTCTAGTGAAGCATGGGGCATAGAAGCATCACTATAACAAGAATGGGAGGGATAACAAGTTGTTAACAATTACTGTGCGAAAGGATTTGCTGAACTAAAACTATTATCTCTATGGCCCATTTCCTAGAACCAAGAAAACAGCTGTGTTAAACCATCCTTATACTGGTGTTTATAGCAATATTATTTTAATATACTCTGAAAAATACATTTTGGAGATATGTTAAATAATAAGCTCACTAAGACTCACCTTTTTTGAAGTCTTTTTTATTGCTCTAGATGCTCTACTCAGTGTACTATCCATATCTTTAGTATTTACTTCAAAGGATTCTGGATCAGCACTGTAAATAAGATTCTCCTGTTGAAAAAATAATACTTTTTTATTATTTTAAAATAAATAAGGGTGCCTGGGTGGCTCAGTTGGTTAAGCGACTGCCTCTGGCTCAGGTCATGATCCCAGAATCCTGGGATCGAGTCCCACATGGGGCTCCCAGCTCAGCGGGGAGCTTGCTTCTCCCTCTGACCCTCTCCCCTCTCATGCTGTTTTTCTCTCTCTCAAATAAATAAAATCTTTTAAAAAAATAAATAAATAAATAAAATAAAATAAATAGGTAAAACAAAATAAAAATACACAACTGTTTCTAAAATCAAAGCTCTAAGTACATGGGAATATATACAAATGAAGCTACTCAGGTTTTTTATATGCTTGACATAATTTCAACTCTGAAATATACTAATTTAAGGACAGTAAAAAAATCAGCATTCACTAAATGAAAAATTCACTGCAAGGACTATGGACACCAAAGCAACTGAAAAAAGAACTCAATATAAAATCTTTTTAACAACCCTAAAACCAACAAGTTAGAACCTTAGTGGACACAATGCTTACGTATAAAGTCTGCTATAGGGCGCCTGGGTGGCTCAGTTGGTTAAGCGACTGCCTTCGGCTCAGGTCATGATCCTGGAGTTCCGGGATCGAGTCCCGCATCGGGCTCCCTGCTCAGCAGGGAGTCTGCTTCTCCCTCTGACCCTCCCCCACTCATGTGCTCTCTCTCTCTCTCATTCTCTCTCTCAAATAAAATAAATAAAATCTTTAAAAAAATAAAGTCTGCTATAAAACCAAAACCAAGAAACAATTTCCTTGAGATAATCTCAAATTAAACTTAAGACTTTTTCCTTTTTTCTTTCTTCCTCAACCAACATCTAAATGGATTCTAAATTGGAGGTTCTGAACCTATGATCAAGAGCTCCTAGGAGTGGCAATGGATAGAAATAGGAGGTATGCAACCTCCCTGAAATCATGTGCAAAACTCTGTGTGTGCATAAATGCAAAGGACAGTTTTCTGAGGAGTAAGCTCATAGTTTGTTACATTCTAAAAGGAGTCAAAGATTTCAGATAGGACAAGAACCACCAATCAAAATTAACCTTAAATGAGACAACTAATCTCCAAGTAATCCAAAATATCACTTACTCAAATTACATTTGGGCTTTTTGAGGAAAAAAGCACGTGAGACAAAATGTCTTTGCATACTCCTATAACCAATTTGCACTTTAAATTTATAGATCTAGGTCATGAATCAGTAAGTTTCCCCACTAGTCTAGCACTATTAAGACTATCCTCCACCACTGTCATTCTGTGGCTAGAGAGAATTTTATACAACCTTGTGAATACTGGTTTTTCTGAAAATGTTCTCATATGCAAAATGTAGAAAATATCTGTATACTTAACCCACAGGAGTCATGAAACAAGATAATGCACAGTAGTCCTTTGAAATAAAATGTTAAACCCCCTTGCAAACAAATAGTCTTAAATATTATATTCTACAATTATAAATGCTTGCTTTGGCTCTCTGCCATTGACATCCACATAGACAGGCTTGGTTTTGCCAAAGCTTCTTAAAACAAGCAAGTCCGCCCTGCCTGCTCCAGACCCTCTCTTTCCACTTCGTCCACCTGCTGAAAGACTCAGTCACTTACCTAATCTTAATCAGGTAACAGTACTTGTAATCATCAGTAACTTTTTAAAAGGTTATAATTTTTTTCCTGAGTCAAAAAAACAAAAACAAACACACACACACACACTTCCATTATAGAAAATTTGAAAGAAAAATTACCCACAAGTGTCCTGGCCATTTGCTATTTGCATTTAAACATATTTCTTACATATATTTTTATATGCATAAATGTTTTATTTTAACAAAATTAGAGTGGTTCTATTCAGTTTTATATCTTATATCTTTCAATTAGCTCTGTATTATGGCTTTTTTCCATTATCGTTAGATACTCAAAGGAATTACTATTAATGAACAGATGATAAAAGTCTCTTCTGATTATGAGAATTAATTTTATTATTTCATTATTCTTTAACACAAAGAGCCTCTACTTTCTTCTCATTAAGAAATAAATATAACATCAAAAAATAAAATACTTAGGAATAAACTTAAAGAGATGAAAGACATACACTGTAAACTACAAAATGTTGTTGCTGAAAGGAATTAAAAAATACTTGAATAATTGGAAGATTTAATATTAACACGTCAATAGTACCCAAAGCAATCTACAGATTCAATGAAATCCCTATCAAAATCCCAGTGATTTTTTTTGCAAAGAAAAAAAAAAATTCATTCCAAAATTCATATGGAATCACAAGTGACTCCAAATAGCCAAGACAATCCTGGAAAAAATGTACAAAGTTGGAAGTCTCAAACTTTTTGGTTTAAAAACCTACTATTAAGGGGCGCCTGGGTGGCTCAGTTGGTTGAGCATCTGACTCTTGATTTCAGCTCAGGTCATGATCTTGGAGTCATAGGACTGAGCCCCACGTCGGGCTCCACCCTCTCCCTCTCCCTCTGCCTCTCCCCACCCTCTCACACACTCTCTCTCTAAAATAAATGAATCTTTAAAAAAAAAAAAAGAAATAACACCTACTACTATAATCAAAATGGTACTGTACTGGCATAAGATACAGAATAGAAATGGAATGAAACAGAATAGACAGCCTAGAAATAAACCCTCAATAATATGGTCAAATGATTTGACAAGGGCATCAAGACTATTCAGTAGGAAAAGGAGGACAGTCTTTTCAACAAATGGTGCTAAGAAAACTAGATATCCACAGGCAAAAGAATAAAGTTGGATCCTTACCTTACAGCACACACAAAAATTAACTCAAAATGGATCAAAGATCTAAATATAAGAGCTAAAAACTATAAAACTCTTTAAGACAAAGAAAACATAGGTCAAAAGCCTCAAGACACTAGATTTAACAGTGCTATCTTAGATATAACACCAGAGGCAGAGGCAACAAAAGAAAAACAGAAAAATTAGATTTCATAAAAATTGGTAAACGTTGTGCAAAAGACACTATCAATAAAATAGGTAGCAATCCACAGAATGGGAGAAAATATAAATCATTTATCTGATATATCTGAGAAGGGATTAATATCCAGAATATATAGAGAATGCCTAAAACTCAACATCAAAGAAACAAAACAAAACAGAACAAAAAAACCAGATTCAACATTCACCACCTACACCTACATTTTCTTAAAGGTTTTTGAAATGGTTTCACTTTTAACTCGGAAATCTACCTATAAACTTATATGGATATAAGGTTAGGCTATACATCTAATTTTTCCTATGTATTTAACCAACTATTGTAGCACCATATGTTAACAATCTTATTAAATTGTTAAAGTACTATATTTATCATACAATAAAGTCTTATTTCAAGAACACTTATTCTTTTCTTTGTGCAGTAGTGTTCTGATCATTGTAACTTTAAAATACAATGTAAAAAAAAATACAATGTAATATCTCATAAAAGAAGTACTGTACTTTTTTTATTGTTGCTTTTTGTTTAAAAATTATCTTTGGAATCATTCTGTCAAAATCAAAATTTCCTGTAGGATTTTATAAGAACTACAATGAATTGACATCTTTATGCTACTCCGCATTCTCATTTAGGAACATCACAGATTTCTTTGTAAAGTATTATATAGTTTTCTTAAAATAGAAAACTTTCATTTATTTCTTACAAGGCTATTCCTAGATTTATACTAAAATTTCCTAAATTTATACCAAGTTTTATTGGAAAGAGGGGTCTTCCTTTCCTATACTTTCTAGTTAGTTACTGCCAGCATAGAGAAAAACTATTGAGGGGCACCTGGATGGTGCAGTCGGTTAAGTCTCCAGCTCTTGGTTTTGGCTCAGGTTGTGATCTCAGGGTCATGAAATCAAGCCCCATGTTGGGCTCCATGCTCAGTGGGGAATCTGCTTAGGATTCTCTCTCCTTTGCTCATGCCCTCCCCCCCACCACCACGCTCTCTCACGCGCTCTCTAAAATAAATCTTTAAAAAAAAAGAATATTAATATGTATGTATTTATTTTTTATTTGGCTGAACTAAGCTGTCACAAGTTCTAATACTTTTCAATTGGTTTTTGTTAGACAATCATTGGAAATAACTGAGTAGTTAACATCTCTTGACAATTTATGAGAAACAAAGTAGTCAGGACCGTGATTCAAGCTCTGCCTATCCCTGAGTCTCCCTTATCCCCATTCACATACACCTGGCAAGGTTCTGCCATTAACATCTCCTACATCTTATAATAGAGGGATCACATTTCCTACATTGCTATACATATGACACCATAAACTAAGCACAGGTGTAACTTTAGCTTTATGAATTTGATTTTGTTCTCATTTAATTTATAATTTTAGTTTCATTTGATTTCATTTCAAATTTGCTTTCATTCAATCAACAAATACATATATTAAAAACCTATTTGATAGAACTTTTTTATGTTCCTCGATACAGAAGCAAATTCAGAAAAAGGATGTTTTGACACAAATATCTTTTCCTTCATGATATTTTGTTTTCAAAGTACAAAGTAATTCATCAATGCTCACTCTAAAATGATCAACCCAAGACATTTTTAAAAAAATGAAACACTGAAGGGGTGCCTGGTTGGTGCAGTCAGTTAAGCATCGGACTCTTGGTTTCAGCTCAGGTTGTGATCTCATGGTTGTGAGATCGAGCCCCACATTGGGCTCTGCCCTCAGCATGGAGTCTGCTTGAGATTGTCTCTCCCTCTCCCTCTGCCCCTCCTGCTCATGCACACACACTCTCTCTCTCTGAAATAAATAAATAAATCTTAAAAAAAATTAAACAGTGGGTGCGTGGGTGGCTCAGTTGGTTAAGCGACTGCCTTCAGCTCAGGTCATGATCCTGGAGTCCCAGGATCGAGCCCCGCATTGGGCTCCCTGCTCAGCAGGGAGTCTGCTTCTCCCTCTGACCTTCCTCCCTCTCATGCTCTCTCTCTACCATTCTCTCTCTCTCTCAATAAATAAATATCTT